CATTTTGACAATAATGAGCACTGAAGCAGACCAGACTAAAAATGTCACTTTTAAAACCTTTTGTCATCCTAAAGATAAACAGCAGCGCAGAGCAAAATTTGAGATATTATGGGGGACAATCTGTCTTGATTATTAGGACTCGTCCCCCTCAGTGTCTGTAGAGTTTTACAGCCCTGGTTCTCATCTCTGGCCTCGAGGTTCACTTACCTGTAGAGTTCTGCTCCATCCATCATCAAACTCCCCTGTCTGTAACTCTATAGCTGGCTCAGGTGTGTTTGATCAGGGTTGGAGCTCAACTCTGTAGGAAAGTGGACCTCAAGGACCAGAGTTGAGAAGCCCTGGTCTAAACCCTAACCTGTGCCCAACCCCTAACCTCTGACCTCAATACCTCAGTATAGAGCAGCTAGCACATCCTGACAGATTGAGCATTACTGTTTGCTGCGATTAGATTTAAGTCTGTTTTGACAGGTGAAGGCGTGTTGAGTTGACCAGTGGGGTTTGGGTAGTAAATGATGCGTTTACCCTCCTGCGGCGTCTCCATAGTGCAGTCGTCAGAGATCAGACGGCAGTAAAGCTCGTAAAACTCCACGGTGTCGTCCGAGAACAGACTCCAGCACACGTGCAGCGATGTGTCGGTGGCAGAGTTAGCGATCTGCGGATTCATGACCGGAGCCGACGGAGCTATACACACACACACACACAGTCAAACACACCTGTTCAACCTGCTGACTGAAAGCATTCAAGGGCTCATTTTCTAGACTTTTTTTGTGCACTACACAGTCAGTTTTTCCTTTGCTGCATGTTAATCGTCTGAAGCTAAACACATTTGCATGAAGTGCAGTGGAGCTCAGGGCAGAAAGAGTGTGTCGCATGTGAACTGAAGAGCTGGAGCTCTGATGTGTGTTATAATGTGTTATAACTCTAGCACTAGTTCTGCTGCAGTTCAGGAATCTCAATCATACGAACCCTTTAAACAGCTAAATTAATGAAGCCATAACTGTGTCTCAGCTTCAACAGAAAAATAATCAGACAAATACGAGCCCTTTCATGTGAGTGAGTGTTTAACACTGTCGAGAGCATCATTTACATTCCCAAAATCTGAATTGTGCAAAAATAATATTTGTCTCTTTGTCAATTATTCAGTCACATGACTTTCTCTTATTGTGCCAGTAGGAATTTGTCTAGCATATGTAAATGTTTCCACTGCAGTTTATTTACATGTCGGCAAATAAAAGATTATCCACTTCAGGTGAATCTGTTTTTAGGCACATTTTGGAAGTTTTATTTGCATCTTCTATGTTTCTATGGCATAAAAGTGCATAAATGGAACACAGTGAATGTAAATATAAACGAGCAGCGGTTGGCGTCTGACCTGGAAGCACGTTAATGGACTCCATCATCTGTCTGACATCGGACAGATCTGTCGTCAGCACCTCGAAGTCCAGAGACACTCCCAGCTTCAGATCCGCTTCCTCTCTGGAGAACTGCTCCACTCTGATTGGACAGAACATTACAGAACATCCCAGATTCCCCTAGACCTGGAGTTAGGGTTAGGGTCCCGCGAGTCTTCTAGGGTTAGCAGAGTTAGTGCTCAGGACTGATGGACGTGCAATTAAATAACAGAATGTCAGTATAATGAATTATTATATCACTGATCTACTGTTTACTGTGATTATTAGGCACATCCACTGTAAATCCAAACGGAGGATGAGCGCTTCGAAAGCCCCTGCTGATCGCATTTACAAACTGTGCAAATGTTCTCGGTTCACGGGTGTTTTGTGAACAGTCGTGATGCAGCAGATGTGAATATGCAGAAACGAGAATGAGTCGTAGTGAATCTTAAAGGGGTCATGAACTGCCTCTGTTTTTTTTATTTTGTACTGTTCTCTGAGGTCCATTTATAATGTTATCAAGATTTTACATAAAAAAACATCATAATGTAGAAGTAATAGGCTATTTTCTGTGCTGTTTTAACCCCCCTCATCAGAACGCTCTGTTTGAATAGGAGTGGAGGATTGAAGACTCGGAAGTAAACGCCCACTGCTGTGATTGGCTAATAGTTGTGTATGATTGACGGTCTACATTCCTCATAGATGCTCGCTGCTGTGATTTAGGTCAAAAACGCATAAATAACTCAATACAAATCAAACGATTTGTAAGAAAAGACAAAGCAACAGTGATCACAAAATTAAAACATACTCAAACTTGTGTGTTGCCACATAACTGTCAGATACAATATTATCAGTGCACACCGTCTTTTAGTTTCAATCTTTCTGAAAATCCTATTCAGAATTGTGCTGAGGTGTAGAATCGGTGGGCGGGGCTAAACAGACTGCTGTAGAATCGGTGGGCGGGGCTAAACAGACCTGCAGAATCCATTCTGTTCTATTCTATTGTGGTCCAGTAAAATGCTGGCTTCAAGATGTTTTTAGATGAACAAGAAAGTTTTGAGTTCTGAAACTTACAACGATGTTTTTATAGTATAATGACCTCTTATATGTCAAAAGGTCAAGGCAATTTTGGTTTTTCAGCTCATGATCCCACTGGCTGTATGAAAAGAGCATCATCAACATCCTCACATGGGTTTGGAACGACGTTAAGGTGAGTAAATGATGATTGTTAGACAAACCACACACTGCATCTACTCACCTCTTCATTATTGGCATGACAGCCTGTCAATCAGAGAAGGAGGGCGGGTCAAACACCCCACAGCAGTCAGATTGAACAGTGTTTGATTTCACGATTCTCTAATAAGACTGAATGGCTGTCTCTGACCTGCAGGAAGGCATGTTTGTCTGGTCTGCGGTGGAGCTCCTGTGCGCTCTCGATCAGCTCTTTGGATGCGTCCAGTGTTCGGCCGCACCGCAGCAGCTGACCGTACAAACACTCCAGCTTGCGGTTCTTCTGCTCGTCCAGCGCCACGGCTCGTGCCTCGTTCCTCTGCGACAGCGTCTGCAGAACTTCATTATAGTGCTGCTCCAGATTCTGCTCCTGCCGGCCGAAGTTCTCCTGCAGACACACATGTGCAGATGAAACACCGCCCAAACACCACCTGTCGCAGCAGAGACCGTGTGCAAACCTCCACAGTGATGAAGATCTCCTCCAGGTTACTGGCGAAGTTCTCCATCTGGACGATCTTCTGGCTCAGCTTGCTCCTGCTTCTGGACAGCTGCTCCTGGAAAGCACAGCGCCGCGTCACACACTGCAGACGCTCGGGTCACGCGCTCGTGAATCTGTGCCTCACCTTCATCTGCTGTGCGCCGGCGAGTGTGGAGACATCAGCAGAGTCCTGCACCATCACAAACGCCGCCTCCTCCTCCTCCTCACTCGCCGTCAGCTCCTCTGCGATCACGTCCAGATGACCTCTGACCTCATACACGTCCATACCGACACCTGCAGCAGATCCCCGACAGAAACACATCGTTCATGTTCACTAGTTCAGTCATTCACCGTCTGGACAGTCAAGTCAATTCACCGTTATTTATATAGTGCTTTTTACAAAGCAATCAACAGTCAATCTCTTCTCGTATATCTTGCTGCTTCTGTTGTGTTTATTGTATTTTCTGGTGTTTGTGTGAGTGCTGATGCTGTACGGCAGCACTGAATGTAAAACAATCATGCCAGTGAAGTACTCTGAGAGAGATTTGACTTTAAAAGGTGATTTGAATCTATCTATCTATTGTTTGCAACACAAGTTATTTATAACGACTACCATAAAATACACTTATAAAACCTAAGATGAGGTTTTGTTTTGTTTTTCTACAAGAAATATTGTCAGAAAATATGCCCCCACACACACACTCACACGCACACACACACACACACACACACACACACACACACACTCTCTCTCTCTCTCTCACACACACACACACACTCTCTCTCTCTCTCTCTCTCTCTCTCTCTCTCTCACACACACACACACACACACTCTCTCTCTCTCTCTCTCTCACACACACACACACACACACACACTCTCTCTCTCTCTCTCTCTCTCTCTTTCACACACACACACACACACTCTCTCTCTCTCTCTCTCACACACACACTCTCTCTCACACACACACACACACACACACACACTCTCACACACACACACACACACACTTACTTTACAGCTATTGTTTTCTTGATTTTGCTTCAAACAGAAATCATCAAAGTAATAAAGCAGTCATAAATACCTGCCGGTCCTCGGTGTGTTCGGTGTAGAGTGAGTTTCTGCGCATGCGCTTCGAGCTCCGAGCAGATAAATATAGATCGACGGATCGAATATCAGCAGGAGCTCAAAAACCCCTCAGGACTGCACGATACAAACACCTGCTTTACTGGAACACATTTACTGTAGCGCTTACAGTTGAACAGCAATATGAAGGTCAAGCGACGCCTAAACCACAGATTCGGTTCTTCAGTCGGTGCCATGATCTAATTAACTCAGATGTAAAGTTTACATTTAAATAGGCCTATACTGTTTATATTTAGACTTTAATTTAGATACATCTGACACACAAATCATAAATTATAAACCCAGGACAGCTTCAATAATATTCTTCAAATCGATTCACTAAAATTGGTTAAATTATTTCTGTTTTCAAATCGGGTTGAATTGTATCAAATTATTTATCCAATAAAGCCTTTATAGAAAATGTAAGAAAGTATCATTTCAGTGGTATCATTTTAAATGAATGAATATTAATGGACAGAACTGATCTGCATCAGCAGGGTTAAGTTTATAAAACACACGTGCTTCATCTGCATGTTTAAACAGAAATATCATGTAAAGTATGGGCTCATCTGATTTAGAGTGTTAGCTCTTGTTCTGTGTGTTTTTAATTCACATTTGCTGTCTGTTTTCCATTATTGTCCAGTTAAAGATGTGAGGGATGTCATAACCCTTTGATGACTACTGTAACAATGGAATGATTTCTATTTTAATGTTACAGTTCGGGTATTTGTAGCAGCAGCTCTTATCGTACAGATACAGTTTGTACAAATCAATCCGGGACTTCCCCGTCACGTGACCGCAGGAAGCTGCCAGCTGATGACGGCGGAAGCGCAACACAAACACCGACGCGATGAGCGACGCGGACAGCGAGCGCATGGACAGTCTGGACGGATGGGTCGCCGTTAAACGCGACGCCTTCGACGACAGCGAGAGCCACAAACTCAGATTCATCGTGGAGTGGAACGAGATCGAGACGAAGTTCGCGGTGACGTGTCATAACCGGACGCTGCAGCGGCGCGGCGACGCGAGCGGCAGCTGCGCGGGTCTGTTCTCCGGCGAGCAGCTGAGCGGCGTCGGAGCGCACCTGAGCGGCGTCCGGGATGAGCTCGGCCCGCTGTTTCCCGACCTGACGCGCTTCCGCGAGCCGAGCCTGTGGGAGCTGCTGTTCTCCAGCGCGCCGCGGTGCGATGCTGACGCGGCCTGCAGGCAGCTGGAGCGCTACTTCGGCGTCGCGGTGGACGCGTGCGGCCGCAAGATCGTGCTGGACGCGCTCTTCAGCGTCACTGAGGCGGACGAGCGCGAGTACTTCGAAAACCTGCAGGAGTTTAAATGCAAAGCGATGCGCGACGAGATGACGCGCGCCAAAGACACGCTGGGCGCGGTGAGACGCGACATTTTCTATTCTATTCTGTTTTAGTGTTTTCTGTTCTGTTCAATTCTATTCTGTGCTGTGCTGTTCTGTTGCGTTCCATTCCATTCTGTTTGATTCTATTCTATTGATCAATTCTATTCTATTGTGTTCCATTCCATTCTGTTTGATTCTATTCTATTGATCTATTCTATTGTGTTCTATTCTATTCTATTGTGTTCTATTCCATTCTGTTTGATTCTATTCTATTGATCAATTCTATTCTATTGTGTTCTATTCTATTGTGTTCCATTCCATTCTGTTTGATTGTGTTCTGTTTCATTCTATTTTATTCTACTATATTCTATTGTTCTATTCCATTCTGTTTAATTGTGTTCTATTCTATTGTGTTCAATTCTATTCGATTATTCTATTCTGTTCCATTCTGTTCTATTCTATTGTGGTCCATTCCATTCGGTTTGATTCTATTCTAATCTGTTTTAGTGTTTTCTGTTCTGTTCAATTCTATTCTGTGCTGTGCTGTGCTGTTCTGTTGCGTTCCATTCCATTCTGTTTGATTCTATTCTATTCTGTTCCATTCTGTTCTATTCTATTGTGGTCCATTCCATTCGGTTTGATTCTATTCTAATCTGTTTTAGTGTTTTCTGTTCTGTTCAATTCTATTCTGTGCTGTGCTGTGCTGTTCTGTTGCGTTCCATTCCATTCTGTTTGATTCTATTCTATTCTGTTCCATTCTGTTCTATTCTATTGTGGTCCATTCCATTCGGTTTGATTCTATTCTAATCTGTTTTAGTGTTTTCTGTTCTGTTCAATTCTATTCTGTGCTGTGCTGTGCTGTTCTGTTGCGTTCCATTCCATTCTGTTTGATTCTATTCTATTCTGTTCCATTCTGTTCTATTCTATTGTGGTCCATTCCATTCGGTTTGATTCTATTCTAATCTGTTTTAGTGTTTTCTGTTCTGTTCAATTCTATTCTGTGCTGTGCTGTGCTGTTCTGTTGCGTTCCATTCCATTCTGTTTTATTCTATTCTATTGTGTTATATTCTATTCTATTGTGTTCCATTCCATTCTGTTTGATTCTATTCTATTGATCAATTCTATTCTATTGTGTTCTATTCTATTGTGTTCCATTCCATTCTGTTTGATTGTGTTCTGTTTCATTCTATTTTATTCTACTATATTCTATTGTTCTATTCCATTCTGTTTAATTGTGTTCTATTCTATTGTGTTCAATTCTATTCGATTATTCTATTCTGTTCCATTCTGTTCTATTCTATTGTGTTCCATTCCATTCCGTTTGATTGTGTTCCATTCTGTTCTATTCTATTGTGTTCAATTCTATTTGATTGTTCTATTCTATTGTGTTCCATTCCATTCGGTTTGATTATATTATATTCTATTCTATTCTATTGTGTTCCATTCAATTCTATTTGATTGTGTTCGGCTCGATTCTATTGTTCAATTCTATTGGATTATTCTGTTCTATGGTGTTCCATTCAGTTATATTCGATTGTGTTCTGTTCTATTCTATTGTGTTCCATTCCATTCTGTTTGATTGTGTTCAATTGTGTTCTATTCTATTGTCTTCAATTCTATTTTTTTATTCTATTCTATTGTGTTTCATTCCATTCAGTTTGATTCTATTCTATTGTTCAATTCTATTCTATTGTGTTTCATTCCATTCGGTTTGATTCTATTCTATTGTTCAATTCTATTCTATTGTGTTCCATTCCATTCGGTTTGATTGTGTTCTGTTGCACAGCCCTAGTTCTGTTCTATTCTATTCCGCTCAGTAGAGTTTCATTCTGCCGGTGGTTGAGGTTGAGTGAGGATGATGATGGTGTTGTTGTTCTTCAGCTGCTGCAGACTCATCCCAGCACTGACGGGCTCCAGCGGCTGATGAAGATCTATGAGGAGGAAGATGAGACTTACAGGGAATTAGTGAGTGTGGCGACGAAGTTCTACCAGAACCTTCTGCAGCCCTTCAGAGACATGCGAGAGATCGCCACGCTCTACAAGACGGAGATTCTGGTACCTGCACACACCTCACGCCAGAGCCAATCAAATAAAAAACACTTTCATACATCAGCACCAAATCTGACCTGTCAGTCATTCAAGCAGCAGGAGGAGCGCACAGATGTGATGATGAAAGATAATGTGGGTTCAGCTGATAAACACGATGTTAAGAAGCAGCAGAAGCTGATGGACGTGTGTCTGTGTGTTCGTTCAGAAATGTCTGCAGTACGAGGAGCTGGGGCCGAAGCGTGTGAGTGAACTGGAGGCAGAGATGAACGAATGGAATCAGCGAGGAGAAAAAGCTGTTCACTCCATACAGGACATCACAGCCGACTACTTCAGAGACACGTCCAGAGCGCTCACAGGTCTCACACGGCTGGTTTACACCATGCTATGCATTCAGATCTTTTAGAAAGTATTTAATAAATGCATCTGATGCATCACTTCTGTCTACACACAGTCTAGAAAATGCCTCAAAAGTGACAAAGCAACAAAATGCACAAATATATCATAGATTCTCTTGTGAACTCAAGTACAGTCTGCCAACGCACACAGATCGTCTTTTTAAGATCTTTCCAGTGATCATCAGAATAGAATATAATGTGAATGTTTGTGTGGATGTATTCTAAAATGCGCTTAAACAATAAAGCTTGTTTTGCATTTGTCTGTGGTTCGGACAGACAACTTTCATATTTGTGCAAATGCCTCTAAATGTGTCGTAGGATGAGGCCACACCCTCTCATAAATAATGACATCAGATATTTACTCACTACAGAATGATTCACAGTATATCATTTCACAACACACACACACACACACACACACTCTCTCCATCCCTGAACTCTCATCTGTGTGTGACAGTTCATCGCTCTGCTGATTACCCATGTTTTTATTACTGACCTGTGTGTGTGTGTGTGTGTGTGTGTGTGTGTGTGTGTGTTTTTCTTCAGGTATGGTGAAACAGATGGAACAGGATCAGAAGAGATTTGGCCACGCCTCTTGGGCAATGGCCACGCCCAGACAAGAGAAACTCAGAGTCCTATTGGCTAAAGAGACGCTGCAGTACATGAGAGCAAAAGAGATGTGCATCAAACGCAAGAGAGATGAGATCCGAGAGAAGGTGTGTGTGTGTGTGTGTGTGTGTGTGTGTGTGGGAGAGAGCGAGAGAGAGTGTATGTGTTTGAAAGAGAGAGAGAGAGAGAGAGAGAGAGAGTGTGTGTGTGTG